TCAGACTACTCTTCTAATTAAATCCTTTCCTTGGATTCCAATTAAGACTTACTTGCACAATTCGTTGATTATCCTTCCAAGCAAGTACTCTACAAGTTGGGTGCAGGGATGTTGGTACTGCCTATATTGGAAGGTATAAAGATGTTGGTGTTGCCTTAGCCTAAAGGACTTACATGCACAATCTTTCCATAACCATAACCTTCTGTAACAACCACTTGTTATGTATAGTGCTTGCACTTCATGATTAGGTCTCCTTCTGGGAATTCTTATTTCCATCATTGTACTGCACTTGGACTTAACCACAGGGCTTTGTATTCAATTACAGGCTCCTTTATTAGGTTATAGAAACTAAAATCTTTTAATTTTGCTTCCAGCCGGACTTGAACTGTTGACCTTAACTGTAGAGGGTATAGGAGCTTAATCACTAAGCTATGAGACCCACATCCTACTATGTACATTATCATTATACAGTTACATTTTTAATAATATAGTTAATTTGTAAAACATTGAATTCTAAGTATATAACATATAAAAAAAATTATTCAGAATAATCTACGAATGTGAATGGCCGCTAATGGCTCACTTATGATTTCTTTTTAAATTATTATAACATTATACTTTTCTATAGTAACAGTAATGATAATAGCCAAAATTTAATCTTATAGTAAGAATCATACTTACATTATACTTTTCTATAGTAACAAAAATGATACTAGTTAAAATTAAACTTATAATAAGATTTATACTTATGAGTCTATATTATTTGATTACTAATTCTTAAATTTATTTTTTTAAATGTATTTATAAAGCAATTGGGTGAATGCATAATAAAACTATTTTTCTAACTAATTATAGATGAACTGAAAAAATTTGCTTATAAATTGTATTTCAATAATGATGATTTAATTTCTGTGGAATGTAGAGATCCTAATATTTGCAAAATATATAGCTGTGAAATTTTTTCTAATCTTTTGCAATCAGTAATTTTACTCGACTGCAGGCACTTCTTTTACTAAAAGTGTATTATGAAATATAATTGTTGTCCTTGCAAATATAAAGACTATAAAACATCAAATCAATATATTGAAATATTAACTTCACATTGTCTTGAAAAAATATTAAACATATCATCTTTTCAAGTACAAGCTAATGAACTACAAGCACAAGCTGATGAATTACAAGTACAAGTCGATAAACTACAAGTACAAGCTGATAAACAACAAGCACAAGCCGATGAACAGATGCAATTCGATGAACAGATGCAATTTCAATGAACTACAAACACAAGATGATAATGAACAAGAGCAAATTAATGAACAAGTACAAGTCAATAAACTACAAGTGCAAATGTGTGGGCAAGCACAGGGCAGGCAAGTACAAAGCATGCAAGCACAAAGCAGGCAAGCACAAAGTGGGCAAGCATAAAGTGAACAAGTATAAAATTAGCAAGCACATAGTGGGCAAACACAAAGCGAGCAAGCACAAGGTGGGCAAGCATAATGCAGACAAGCGCATGATAAGCAAGCACAAAGCAGGCAAGCACAAAGTAGACAAGTGAATAGCAGACAAGAACAAAGTAAGCAAGCGAATAGTAGGCAAGCACAAGGTGGACAAGCACATAGTGGGCAAGCATATAGTGAGCAAGCACAAGTCAATGAACAAACTAATGAACAGGTTAGCATTATTAAAATTTATTATATAGTGTTATATAATATTCATATTATAAAATATATATTGAAAATTAATTTTGATTTAGGAAAATGAGTCTGCAAATAATGTATTGAAACCTCTATTGACATTATCAAAAAGGCCACATAGGTCAAAAGTACCAAAAAAAATAACAGAAGTTGTCGAGGTTCTAATTACTCCTAATGGGACAGAAGATAGCTCAGTTGAAGCCTACGAACCAACAGGTCAAATTTTAGTCGATTTATTTAATATTGCAAAACAAGCTAAAAAGCAATCAAAAAAGTCTAATTCAATAGAAATTAGGAAATAGTATAATTATACTAAAGCTTTTGAGAAGCGAGTAAGGGAATTAATAAGTGAGAATGTAAAGAATAGAGCAGCTCATACACAAATATACAACACAATGTTACTTTATATGAGTTGTCAAATGACAATAGGCAATCTTTATCAGATAATGCATAAGACATAAAATATATTTAATATATTTAGTAAAGTTGGCATTAGAGCAATTGACCAAGCCAGATGTTTTACAGCAAATCATCTTTCAGAATACAGCAATGATAATATTAAAAGAATTGTTAAATATATAAAATATAGAAGGGTTAATTAAATCATATAATCCATTATTATACAGACTCTCCTCTGTAGATCTCTCGACCAAAAATTCTAGGAAAGAAAATATAGAAAAACTCAATAACTAGACTAGGAAACAAAACCTGAGGTATTAACAAGAAAGACAGAACAGCAAAAGTTGCATATAGTTTAATAGAGAAATACAGGAAAAGAACTAAGACAACAGCAAAAAACAGCATATAGAGAATTTTTAACGAAAAGCAATAAATTCTTTTGAAAAAGTGGTGAACTGCCAATACTCTGTATCGTAGATCCTTTAGGTTACACAAGAAGCCTCAATAGGTTTGGCAAAGTAAACAAACAAACACATACATCAAACCAGTTTAGTACAGTGTTGGCCATTTTAGGTCATATCCAACTTTATATGACCAAGGTGGTCATAATGTATTAGTAAATTTTATATGTCATAACAGGTCATAAGGTCATAACCTATAATTGGCCAATAGGTCATAACTGGTCATAGGCCAACACTAGTTTAGTATAGATACAACATGTGATATAGAAGTATATAGAAACGGCTGTGCAACATAAACAAAAATTTACCAGAAGAATACAGAGAGAGCCTAAATGCAATTTTTACAAGAAGAGCATATAAGGCTATGAACAGTGTGCATAATAAAATCTTCTTCAATGAAGCAAGTAAGGCATATGCAATACCAAACAAAGAAGATAATATTGTTGCAGTACTCACAAAACAAAACTCGAATAAAGTAGCACTTCTGCGAATAACAAGAGAGATATTAGAAAAAGCAAAAAAAGAATAACCTGAAAAGAAGCTTGATTTTGTAAAACAACATTAAGATAAAATATGCACAGAAAAGAAGAAAGAACAACAACAGACAAATGAGACTGAGAAAAGACAAGAAATGATAAAAGAAGAGACAAGAAAAAGAAAAGAAGAGAATGAAAAAGTTAACAAAAGTGTACAAGCAAGTATGGAGATTGCAAGAGGGAAAGTAAGTATACAGGTAGGGCAAACAAGTAATGATCAAGTAGAAACCGAATCATCATCCTCTTATTGAAAAAAGAAGAAGAACAAGAAAGAGATCAAGAATTAGAAGACATAGAAATGAATGGGAAAAAAACAAGACAGGGATCAACATCAGAAGAAAAGGAAAGGAAAAAAAGAAGAAAACAAAAAATTGAAAGAGAAATTGATGTATTTGAAGTACCACTTGAAGAAAGCATATGGGCACTAAGCAAAAGAGGCTGTAACTGAAGCAACAGCCTACTTGCAAACATATGCACACATAATGTATCAGAAAAGACTAAAGATGAACACACGAACTTTATCAGATAGTTATTAAAAGATAATGAGCATGTCAAAAACATTGAAGAAGTCTTTAAAAGAGGAAATCTATAGATAGAGATAAAGTTTGACTGCGAGTATGGCAGAAGTAAAGCAATACAAAGAATTAGCAAAAAAGAAAGTGACTGGTACAGAATGATCACAGAAGAAGAAAAAATAGACAGGAAG